GTAAATACGAATCACAATATCGGATTTTTAAATCTCGTAAATAAGAATCGCAACGTACAATATTCAAATCGCGTGAATAAGAATCGCAACACGCAAATATGAAAAGCTATGTTTGATATTAAAATCGTGTGAATAAGAATCGAGATATTAGCAGATTCTAGGCTTAGGACCTCCAAAAGGCTTGTCAGAAGCAGCGTCGTTTGAACTTCAAAAATCGGATCTATCTGGAGGGCGGATACAAAATTCGGAAAATCTTATCTGCTGTGAGTAAAAGGGGAGAAAATAGCTATAATGAGTAAAAATGAGAAAGGATTGGTAGCTATGTAGTTTGAATTTTCTGTTTCTTTTTGAAAATCGGTGCATTTTCTGAAAAAGCTGAATACTTATACAAAAAAGTGAAATTTTTAGAAATATCTGAATTTTTGATTAAAAAAAAACTGAAATTCAAGAGATAAAGGTGGAAAAAGCGGAAATCCGCTAAAAAGCGGAAAAATCTCATCCCTGTTATTAATAAATTTTTATAACAAATAAATAAGTTATTATAAAATTTGTTTCTCCTGCAAAAAGTTTTATTCTAATAAATACAAAATATTTATCTACTATGTGTTAAAAAAATCTACTATATATTTACATATATTTGCCTCAGGTTCTCATATTTTACCACATAAAATTAATGAATTTTAGGTTTATTTAAATAATTTTTTAACATGGTATTTTACTTGATATAGTATTTTCCCTTAAAGATTCCAGATAACTTGAAATTTATTGAATTATTACCATTAAAAGTAGAAAGAAGGATTTTGTATAGAAAACTAAGAATTAAAAAGCAAAATATTGGTTGACCAAATTTTAACAATTAGTATTCAAGCTAATTCTATATTTGGTACATCTTCAGCTACAAAGTAATGTTTCTGTCAACTCAAATAAAACATTTCATGATAAAGACCCAAAATAGTGGCAACTGATTTTTTTTTCACTTAAAAAAGATACTGAATGAAACCAACACTGTAAATAAACTTCAAAAAATATTTACAAAGTTTTGTTAAAAGTTTCAACTCGCATAACAAAATAAAATATTAAAGTGATAACATTCATTTTAATTTCATGGGAAATTTAATACTAACATCATACCTGAATAGGTTCAAACTCCCATTCAATTTCAATATAATTTTCTTGAAAATATTCAAAACACACCATCGCTCTTTGAACATCTTCCAAGTCTTCAACAGGGATGTCTAGTTTTTTGTTCTTGTCATCAATAGAATCATATAACTCAGTCATGGTTTTTAAATACTTTTGGTTTATGGCATTACTGTACAAAGAGAACCATTTTCTAATTTCACGCAACAAAGGTTTAGTCAATTCAACTAAATCAAAAAAATATATAATTAATTATAGAAAAGATGTAAACAATATTAAAAGTAATGATATATATATTGAATAATTGCAAAAGATTATGCCTGATTTTAAACTAAATGATATACAACACATTTTCATTTGAAAACTGAATTAATGATCAAATTCTCAATAATTATCTATGTCCCCCAATATTATTAATCTATGTCACCAACAAGTTTTTTTTAAATTTATTTTATTTGCATTGTTAAAATCAATATCTTCACTGCAGATGGTGTCTCTTTCAAAAAAAAAATAGTTGTTAAGGAAGTTTTTGATTTCTCATATAAAAAGTCTTACAGAGGTATCTTTTTTTTAACTATTGCAGAGATAATCCAAGTTATACATTTAACAGGATTTGGGTTAACAGAATTTCGCTGTGTTTTTTTCTTCTTCTAATGGTTGGTACTAAACCATTACTTTTTCCCCCAAGAAAGATTGCTGTAAGTGTTGCTCATTTAACAATACATGTGAACCTCAGTCACAGAGACGAGCAACATAACCTAGGTCACATCGAAATAGATATTCGTTTCTTAGATGGGTCACATTCACACATCACACAACGGAGGGAGACTCACCCATCTCTAGAACGGGATTTAGGCTCGCGACCATCAGCGATGCAGACATGCACCCAGACTGTTGGGACACCAGGCTGGCAGGAAATTCTGTCGCAATAAGGTAGAAATATGAATTTTGTTTTAATTATAAATAAATTTTGCAGATATATAGGCTTAATTCATTAAATTACTGTTTCGTTTATTTCAATTACCATTAATCAATCTATTACTACAAAAAAGCAAAATTCATATAGCCTTTGATTATAAATTCCTGTCTAGTTGCTTTTTCTAAAATTAATACAGCATACATGTAATAACATAAAATAACATTTATTAAAATAACAGTAATTTTTCTTAGTCAATTCTCTACAATTCTTGGCACACAGTTTTAGAACTATACACATTTTTATAATTCAAGATCTGAAAGTTAAAAAATTTTTAAATGACACTGAATTTTTTTAAATCCTACAAAATCTGAAAAATGATATTTTAAATATATAAATTGTGCAGATAAACAGCTTTGCACAACAGATTTTTAAAAAATCAAAAATAACAATTGTAAAAGAGTTATAGAATACTGACAATTTTGATTTATTTATTAAAAAAATTAATTTAGATATTATATCAATAAAGCATACCAGTACGGAGTTCAATACCAGCAACTATATATGAATATGGTAACAAATCAACAGTTTTTTCTAAGTCTTTAAAAACTTGAAGCTTACGCTTCAAAAAATACTGATTTGGCTTTGTATCCATAAATTCCTAAAACAAAATAAAAAAAAGTGAAAATCAATAATTTAACCATATTTACAAAGGAATAATAAATAACTTTTAACTATAATNAAGCTTACGCTTCAAAAAATACTGATTTGGCTTTGTATCCATAAATTCCTAAAACAAAATAAAAAAAGTGAAAATCAATAATTTAACCATATTTACAAAGGAATAATAAATAACTTAACTATAATCAGCATTAAATATGATACTTTAGATCTGCAATACATAGTTTCAATTTTAATTTTTAGTTTCATTTTTTAAATTTGCTTTCAATTAAATTTACTTTTTAAATCTTAGACAGTTTTAATAGCTATTTGGTAAGATGATTGAAAGTTTCTTTTGTACTATAAACCAGGGCTATTTCAGACCATTTTTTAAAAAAAAATTTTGAGAAATTTAGGACAGTTAATCTATCATTGTGAAGAATTGAGGTTCGATCCTCGCTGGTGGCTTAAAGCTAGCCTGCCTTCATTAATAGGTAACAGCTTTCCTAGAAGGACCGTGAGTGTCAAATGCTGAGTACAATACTACCATTATGACCTTGGTCCTGAAAACTCCTTAACCACTTGGCCTACAATTGGCCAAATGGTTTTTAAGCCATTTAATAGGAAGGAATAAATTAATCATAGGTTTTTCAATTTGGGTTCATAAAGAATGATAAAGCATTTGTTTAAAGCATTATTGAGTATTCAAATAAAGGGATAGTGCTTCAAAATGTTACAGGAAAGTAATAATAGCTTGAGGCTTTAAACAGTGATGTAATAAATAAACACTGATCTATTTGATATACAGAAAGTGTAAGAAAACAACATACTTTAATCTGATTTTCCTTATCTTTGATCAGAATACTCTTATATTCAGAGAAAAGGTTGTAAACTTTGGTTATTTCCGGCTGCACACTTTTGGCAGCAGTCTCCAGGTATGTCACCAACTTTCCAGAATCAGAAGCTTCCAGAACTCTCTGATGAAATGTCATTTTTGTTTCAGTTGACCCAACAGGTTTCAGATTTTGGTTCTCTAAAACAATATATTTAAACTTAAACAACATTCTAAAATAAATGGTATTAAACTTTCACTTTAAGGATTAAAATAGCTGAAATTGTTATAAACTATCAGTCTATGAAAAACATAGGCTCACAATGACAGCAAGGGCTACAGAGTGGATAACTTGATAAGCTTTTCGATATCTCGAAAAGCTTACGTCAAAAAATACTTTCCCCCTTAGCCTTAAATATCCACCTAATATTAATTTCAATTCCTATGTTGAAGAGTTTCTAGTCAAAACACTATTTTGTTAAATACTTTTCGAAGTAAAAAATGAATTTTTTCGGAAAAATCACCTCGTACCAACACTCTACATTACTACGCCCCAAGAAAAAATGTTGCTCACATATTAAAACATTTCATGTAATCCTCAGAGAACATGGAAAGCGATGACTTGGCAACTATTTTTTGAACAGAAAAATTTATTAATGAGCAATTTTGAAAACAATGACCACGATGATAGAGGTTTTTCTTTTAAATAAACTCTATCAATGTAAGTTTAGTGTAAATGAATTCTTTAATATTTAATGCATATTTACTTTTGTGTTGCGTTAAAAATAACATTTTCATTGCTGCATTTAAACTTATTGTCAAGTATTATGGAAATACCTTTATTAGTATTTATTCTGATGTTTCATGACTCTACATTTTAGAATAGTATTTAAGATTTTTTTTTTTAACTTTTTAGAGCATATTTAATTCTAAACGCGTCATCTCAATAACTGGCTATCTCAAAATGTTTTTAGAGTCCTTTCAACTTTGAGATATCAAGAGTATACTGTACTTAGCTGAATCGTTGTATAGTATGTTGTTTAGCTAATCGTTGTACATTTTTCGATATGTTGAATTTTCTAAATCACGATTTCTTCAGAGTCTCGTTTTCAACTCGTAATATCAAAATTAGGTTATCTATATAAATAAAATGAACATTACTTTTGAAGTTTCATTAATTTACCCAAAAAGTTAGTTTTTCAATTGGTTTTTTTTATTACTAAGATTAACTGGAAATCTATAATCTTTATTTTTAAATGTTTCTCACAATCTTTGTATAGGGGAAATCATTATACTCAGCATTATAAATTTGAATGACTCTCATATAAAAAGAACTGTTTTGAGATCCCAATATTTAATAATAGCATTTCACAAGGACAGCATAAATAAATTGTAGTTGCAGAAACTACATTAAAAAACTAATGGAAATTAATTGAGGATATATTATGTTGGTTCTCAGTTGTGCTTAGGATAAGAGACTTTTGACACGACTATTAAAATACATACATACAATACAACGTTGTCCTCTTAAATAAACAAGATGAACTAAATAATTAAGATTATACAGTGTATCTTTATTTTGGAAAAAAATTACCAGTATGAAGTGAGATGTTTTTTTCTCTTTCATCGGCAACAGTTTCTACAATTTTAAGAATTGTTGCAAGGCCATTACTGAGAGCTTCTTGGATTATATTCATACTTGGATCCATTGTCTAAAACAAGGTAAAAAGAATTTTCTTTTTATTCTTGAAGAACTAAATATTGGCAGAGTAAGTAAATAAGTAAAATATAGCTTACGACTTCTTCATCTTGAATAACTAAATTTGAGAAGAACAAAACACTAACATCAATTTCACTGTCTTCTTTTTCTTTTATAACTAGATCAAATTTTCTAAAATAAAGAGAAAAAATTTTAAGTACATCACAGTTAACTGAATTATGATGGGAGATATTTGCTAGATTTCTTAATAAATCATAATTCATAAATCAGCTAGATTTAAGTCCTAAATTAAATAAACTGATTTTTTTTTACAAAATAAATCATTGATTTAAAAAATAGAAAAGTATTTTAATAGGAGAGTTTAATTTTTTATTGATTTTCATAGTTTTAAAACTTATCAGACAGTATTTATTGCTGTGCTTATAAAATAAAAATAGCACAACTACATAAGTATGTGATGAATAACAAATTAACGCTTTTAAAAAATATATATATATGAAATATTTATTAAATATTTTTTTAAAATTTTATAATCTATTAGAACTTTTAAAAATGTAAAACTAAAGAGCAAAGTAAAAATTCAGGACATTTTTTATAAATTTTTATACATCAACATCATAATATGAGAAAAAAGAAGACATCAACATCATTTTTATATATCAACATCATAATATCATCAGAATCATATCATATCATCAGAAGACATCATTTTTATACATCAACATCATAATATAAGAAAAATTTTGAACATGTTTTTTTTTTTTTTTTCAAAAAAAANTCAATTTAAACTTTTTTTTTTTTTTTTTTTTCAAAAATCATGGCTAGGAAATCCCAAAAAAATATTTTTATTTAATTTTTATTCACACAAAATTGTGTTGTTCACAAACAAAAAAAGAAAGAAAGAAAGAAACATCTTTTTACCCAGAATATCGAAATACGGAAGCAAGGTGGTCTAGTGACTGATTTAGACATTTTCCAAATGCTTTAGCCAAAAGCACATCAAAATATTCCATAAGTTTAAAACTTTCCATATTTATAGCTTGACACTCTAAATCTATTTCATTAGATTTAGCTGAAAGTAAAATAAGGTTTATAAATGTTATAGAATGAAAATCTATATCATAAAATTCAGCTGCAAATAAAGTAGGGACTATTAACGTTATGCAATATTATTAGTAAACACATATAAAACATATATAAGGAGGGAGTTGTGATTGACTATCATCCTTGAACAACCACCTACCTCCTCATTGAACGGCGCCTAAGAGTCTGGAAGGGAAAAGTCCCAAAATATATATTTCATTTACTTATTATTTCTTTAAAACTATTTTAATTCATTCTTTGCCCTGCAACCCTGAGTGTAGGCAGTTTTCTGCTATTGATGTCACTGTTATATTTTTTTTTCTTTATTAAATTTGTTGAGCTTAATTGTTAAGTTAATTATTATCATTTCTTCCTCCCTCGCCCTATAAATCACAACAAATTACGAGGGCTCAGCCGGGATATTGATTAATCCGAACTTTGTAATCCCGTGAAGGGAATACGGATCAAATATGAACAGTGACAATTGATTTCAATTCTATTCTCATGTAGGAGCAGTAGATATAGAGAAAAATATTTTTAACAATCAAGGGAATGTTTTTTTTTTAAGTGAATTATTTTGAATTTCACTGCGGTTTTGCTGTGAAGGGCAGCCAACAAACATCTGGATAGAAACTAAGTGTGAATAATATTGGATTAACAATATTGGATAACTCTCTGCAAATAAGATAGGACATTTTATTTTAAAAATGTAAAGCAAAAAAGGAAGATTTTTTAAAACTTGCTACTGAACTAATTTGATCTTCGGAAAGTGCAACTGTGATAAAACTTTAATATTAGAAATTTCTGATAGAAAATTCTGATGCATATAAAAATGATGCTAAGTTTGTATTAGAAATGCTAGACTATATTACTAATGAAAGGATACTGGCAGAGAAGTAAGAATCAAAACAAAAACTAGAGTTAGAATTAGAGAAATTAAAAATTACTAGAAAAAGAATTATAACTCAAACAATCTGAGTCTAAATTTAGAGTCAGCTCAGCTTAATGCATGACTAGATCCAATTGTGCACCAAGATTTAGAAAGTTTAATACATAGTGTGAAAACATTAACATTACCTGTTCCCACCAAAGCTGAAAATTTAAATTTTTCCAATCCCTAGAAAAAACTTTTAAGGTCAAAAATATGCCTGATAATTTAAGGTCGGAATTATTTACTGCTCTACACGAAGAACAGGATAATAATGCTCTTTCATAATTCACTGAGGAAGAATTGGAAGATTATGTTAAATTAGAAGATTTAACTCTAAGCGAAAATCAGCCTCTACTACAAGATATTTTAAATAGTTTTCGCTGTACTCGTAGGAATTATAACGAAAATTACATTCAATTAATCACATGACTTCAATAGTTTGAATATTAACTATCATTGAGAAAGGTTAATGATTTCAAATCACTGTGCATATTATTAATACAGATAAGCTTTATGAACCTTTAGTTAAAGATGCTGCATATCACGCCAATTTACGTCATTTAAACAAACAAGCGACATTCACATAATTCAAACTCTACAGAATTTTGAAATTGTAACAAAAATATTTTTACACATCCCAAAAGTACACAACTGGAAAAGATCGCACATCTAACTATAAAAATGTTAAACCAACAGAAAATCATAATTGTCATATAGTTATAGTGTTTGTTTTAGAACATCCTATCTGTAAGCAACATATGAAGTTAAATATTAAAATATTACTTTTTTCTTCATGAGTTGACATACCAGAGCCACCTAACAAATCAATATTCAATGACTCTTCATGGGCAATTTTCGCTTCATCAGAGAGGTGCTTTACCACTTCTTCAACAATTTTATCAAATTTCTGATATTCATGATATAGTATTTTGACATATTTCTTGCTGGTTTCCTAATAATTTATGCATGAATTACGTTAATATATGGTTTTATTATGAATTAGAGTATTAAGTAAGTTACATGTCTCAAATTATAAATTATCATAGAATATAGTTCAAATTCTTAGATAGTTATTGCAACCAACATAATTTTAAGAAAATAAAGAAAAACATATATTCTTATTTTTAATACTTAATTATTAATGGGAGTATAAAATATCTTGATATGAATTAAATTAATATTTTCTTTTATTTAAAAATGAAGTACTAGTTAGTTATTGACATCACATAGACTGGCAAAACTTATCCTCAGAATAGCAAGAACCTCAGCTAGTGTATTTTAAAATATTATTTCGAAAATATTTTTCTACGAACTATTATTTCTTTTATTTAAACCTAAAACAATGGAAGAAAAACAAATTTATCTGAATGAAATGATACATTGTACTAAGTGAATGGGTCAGTAAACTGCTGCTTAATGTTAACAAAAATAGCATTTTCATAAATAAACGTTCCTAATAGGAATTTCATCAAAAACTCAATCAATTTGTTTTTAATTACACTTTGTTCTTAATAAATATGGTTTTAAAATGTTTTCCCTCAAGAAAACATAGTCTCACTAGTAAACAACCAGCAATTTTTTTTTTAAAAAAAACTTTTTTCTCCTGCTGCTAATATATAGAAAATATGCAAGGTTAGCATGTATGACTGAACTTTAAATATTTATATTTTTAAACAATTACACAGGTCACAATCATGCACAAAATTTTAAAAAATTTTTAGAAATCAAGTTTTTAATGAGTGACACAACAAACATCTGCAGTAGAGTCTCTATAATTCGAAGTAAAGGGGACCAGGTCTACCTTGAACTTTTAAAAACTCAGATTACCGAACTTATAAAATTTAATAAATAAATGAATGAATGGGTAAAAAAACAATTTGTAAATTAATGTAACTTATTGACGTCCATGTAATTTAATGACGAGATATTTTATGCTGCTGTTGCTTATCCTCTTAACCAGACACATGTCAGATAAGCTCCAGAAGGTCGCTGACAGCAAGAAAATCCGCAACGAAAAGGGGATCCGAGATAAGCTTCACCTTAGAAAGTCCAAGGCAAACCGGAATATATTCTGGCGAAGATGCTTGAACACAGCATTTTTTGCAAGTAGGGAATATCTCTCTACCTCCCTCAAATGTAAGGCATTTAAGATGGCCACTTGCAAATCTGGTCAAAGAGTGTGGGTGATTCAGTCAGATTAGAGAGATATTTTATAGTATAAGGAAGCAAAGATATAAGTGGTACTGGCTGTGTAGAACGGCAGATATTGTCCATTGTATGGAAATAAACACATCAAATTTGCTGGATACATCTGCCGAATGGAGCTATTCTCCTTAACATCCAGAGTCTTTAATTTCAAACCAATAACAACACAAAGAGGCAGGCCTAGACTATTATGGGTTGACTGTATTAATGAAGATTTTGAAGAATTTAAAATGAAAAACTGGTAAACCCTGGCGAGGGAGAGAGCAGAATGGTAGAAGAAGGCTAGCCACAAAAAGTTGTCAAGTCAATATAGAAGGAGCTAAGAGAGGTGCTGTTACAACCAGGATTTACAGATCACTGTATCTAGATATTTATACACACATTGTATTACATAAAAAACATTCTTCATATACAGTCCACTAAAAATAAATTAATCCACTAAAAATTAATTTTTTAAAAAAAATTCTTTTTTTCATTTCTCTCTAAGAAATGAAAAAAGAATCATCAAAAATTAGTTTATCTGTACATAAGAATATTACATAAGATCAGCTTTTAAACTTTATATTAAAATAAACTGTTTTTTCTTAAAAAATTATTTTATTCTTCCCTATGCTTTTACCAATCTCAATAGTGATTGGTCATAGTTTAATTTTTTTTTGCTTTGTTCCAATTAAATATTAATTTGCTTAAGTTCAAATATATAGCTTTTTTTACAAAGTTGTTAACAAGAATTCTGAAAATATATATTAAGGGCAGTCCTTATGTAATACCCTCCGAACATATATTGTTCCCTCATTCCCCCGGACTCTCAGGAACCAAATTTTTCACTGCACAAGCAAAACTTGCTTTAAGAGATATTCCTTTCAATTGCTAAAAATATCATAAATTTTTAACAAAGTAGCTTTTGAATCAAAAATAAATTCACTCACATTGGTGAAAAAATGTTTTCACTGGTTTACAGAATTAGTTTACATGATTATACAAAGACCCTGTAGCAAGAAAACAGCTAATCTGTCCGATTATTATTCCTGATTTATTCAAGCCTTATCCTTAAATAAGATATGTTTAGACTCGTTAATGAGTTTTCATAGATCAATTTCAGATTCTAACATTAAAAATTTAAATTCTGTTTCTAAGAGTCATAGACTATAATTGCTTAGAATTTGATAGCCATCATTGGAATTTCATTACTGAAAATTTGGATTCCAATACTCAGAATTCCGATTCCATGACTGAAGAGTAACACATTATTTTTATTTTCAACAATTTTATCAGTAGTAATCAACATTACCAACAATAAACATCTAACAAAGATTCACAAATAATGTCCAATCAATAAATCGAAATTGAATAAGCATAAAAAAATATCTTAATATCTATATTAAATATTTTAAATGTAAATATAAAAATAAAAATTACATCTTAAATGTTTCAGCTAATAAAAAAAACATTCCATTTTAATGTTATTAATTAGCTGTGTAAACTCTCCATAATGAGTTAGGTTATTGTCAAGGGAAATATTCTTCGAATGAATAAAGAGATTTATATTTACCTCCATATAGGGTAGGAATTCTTCAGGATGGCAAGGAGAAGAGGGACAATGAAAAATGGAAATCTCTGTAACGTCTTGGAGGCGCAACCGAATTCGGTGAGATAATGCATCAGTTGGCTACAAAAACAGGTGAGGAAACATTAAAAAAAGATTTACAATAATTTCTACAAATATTAAATTAATTTACAATAGTTCCTCTCAGAATTAACAGGTCAACCACATCATGCAGCTGTAAAAATGTTATGTAACGTCTAAAGAAGATTAGTATTATTTTTCATCTTTTCTTCTGTTTGAAAAACGGCTTATCACAAAAAAAAAAAAAAAAAAATTAGATGAGACTGTAAAATATATTTTTACTAATTTTACATGCTGAGGTTAGTAAAAATTTAAAGAATTTAATACTCGGAACATGACATATTCGAGTGTTTGGATGCATTTCCTTATGTTCATGATGTATTCATCAGTATTTGCTGACAACCACTGAAGATATATTGTACCCGGTTTCATCACAGATTCAACCTAAAATAATAAAATAAAAAAACATCTTATTGAATAATTTTGAAATGAAGAAACAATTTGTTAAAAGTATAATGAACAATTCCAGGTGACATTTATAAATTTTAATAGTTCCTAAACAGTAAAATGATTTAAGGAAACTAATATCATGATATAAAAAAAGTAAAAGAGCTGCAATGTTTTAAGTGTCATCTTCAGTTTTTATGTTTTCAACAGATTTACAAACATAGCCCAAATGATATTGTAAGCAATAACAGAACAATAACGATGAGTTTTTTAAGTTGTAAAGTTTGTTTAAAGTTGTTAAAGTTGTAAAGTGTTTAAAGTTGTTTGTTAAAGTTGTTTGTTAAAGTTGTTGTTTTAGTTGTAAAGGTGAATCAAAAGAAGTAATCCTATGGTCTTATTACAGATTTCAACTTACTGATGCCGCCTGTACTTAGTTTTATATCGTTAGCCTCCTAATTTTAAGAAGAATGCAATCTGCTCCACTTTTAGCAAAAGGTTTTGAAAAAGAGATAGAGAATTAAAAACTAAAACTTCAGCATTACTTTATTAGGCTCAATGCAAGATAATTAGAATAAAGTGATGCTTTACACAAACCTTTCAATAATTTATATGTATTTTTATTTTATAGCCGTCGTTGAACAGCCAACCCGATTTATGACTACCAATATTGAACTCCATAAACTTGCTATTTTGAACCCAATCCAGTAAACAAGGGAACTATTGGATGAAGTATTGAGAGAAATTTGCTTTCATGGAAGACTTTTTGATGACAAAACAATTGAAAATGGTTTATAGCTTAAAAAAAAAAATCTTTTTTAAAAAGGGGTAGTAAATCTCAGCTAATACAATGATTTTCTAAATTTTTTAGAGCTGGATAATAAAATTATATGTCACTCTCAAATTGTTCTTGTAAAAAGATCTAATAGAAAACAATCCATAATACCTGTTTAATATTATAGTTTATAAGAGGCCTGAAAACATCTGGAATTTTTTTCTTCATTTCATCAAAATTTCTTATGAGTTCCTAAAAAAATAAGGCAAAATAAAGTGGATTTTATTTTACTTTTTTTATACTTACTCCTGAAATCTATTATTTTTTAATTTATAATTTATTATTTACATATTGTAATTAGTCCGTAGTAAATAATTTAACAAACTTCAAAGAAAAAAGTAAGCAAAATTTATTTTTATTTTATAAACAAAGCGTTTCATATTTTCAAAGTAATACATTTAATAACATTTCTGAACATTTGGAGGTGTAATTGTTCTATGAAGTATATAAAAATATTTTTTTATACATTGGTTATTAATTAAAGGGGCTTAAACTTGTTACTTTTTAAGATAGTACAAAGTAGGGCATTCAAAATGCTCTACTTATAAGCCTAAGATTTATATACATATAAGAGCAAGTCTTGAAATACAACTGTAAAATAACATATCCATTTTTTAATCTAATTTTGTTCAATTGTGAGAATAACGCCAGACAGATCTTTTAAAGCTGCTTGTAATTACCACTCACACTCTAACCAAACTATCTTATATTCTAATGAGACTTCTTGCTTTTTAACAGTTCAAATAAAAGTGCCCTCTTACAAGCTTAATTATTGTTACTTTTAATCTGAAAAATAGGTAATTTTCTACATTTCTAGCAGAATTTCCAGTTTTAGCAAATAAATGAATTTGAAGGGTTGAAGAAGAAGTCAGAAAAAAATTTAACTTTAAATATTCTTAGGAAAAGATATTGCTTAGATATTGTCTAAATATTTTAAATATTGTTAGGTTTGGTATTGTTGCTAAAAGAGTTTAACAGGTCTAAGCATAAAAATACTTCAATTAAGAAGTTTGTAAAGTACAAAAAATCATAATTGTAATTACTTAAATTTACAATTGTACGTCATTTCCTTAGTCAATGAGCTGAATTGATAGTCTTCCACCATAATTCAGATAATTTTTCACTTTTCATAGTTTATAAAAAATCCTATTATGTAACAATTCATTGTTTACATTTCAGCAAACAGTAAAATAACCTTCAATCTATCTATATGCATAACAAATTTACAATCGTTGCTTGTTTAAAAATAGCACAATTATGTTTGTTCATGCGTGAAATAAAAAGGTTTGTCAAATTACTAAAATAAGAGAGGTTGTTCACAACTTCAAAAAAGTACCTTAAAATAAGGAAAGTAATTTGCTAGAAATGTCTTTTTATTTTCTATACTATACTAAAAACAATTGTAGCTCAAACATAAGAGAATAAAAATTAAAGTTTAAGAAAAACAGTCTAAAATATAAAAACAGATCAAATAGATTTGCTTAAGCATAAATAAAGGGCTTTTTCAATTAAAAAAAATTCTACACGTTATTCACAAACTCCAAAAAAATGTACTAGAAATTAGGAGTTTGGATAGAAAACCTGGACTTCACTATTGATTTCAAGAGCGTTCTACTATTCAGTAGAAAGAACAAAAATCATTGACATTGTGAGAAATCTGCATGTAATTAATGAGTTAATCATTACTTATTAGACAAATTATTAAAAGGTTTGAATTGATAGCTAGTTACAAATTAGACATTTAAAAACAGCTTAAACTTAAGCATTAAATAAAAGTGCAAAATATACCTTCAACCTGACTTTAGTTTTCATAATTTTATCATAGTTCGTTATTAAAAATTTTCCTTCATCCGGTATATTTAAATTCAAAGCAGCCATTGATCGAGAATCATCAATCATGGAATATAATTTATTGGTAAAGTTAACTTTCCACTCAGTTCCAGAAGCAGTCTCTTTCATTAGAAGTAGTGGCATCTCCAGTTCTTCTCCACACAAAATGACAAAAATAATTAAAATAAAAATCTAACATGTAATTCTCTATAATTCTGAATATATTAAAGTAGAAAGATAATAAGTAATTAAGAAAAGGATCTGGTGTGGAGTTCTACCCAGTTGTTAATGAGTTTAGTTGGTAATTGTTTCATACAATGCTTACACCTAACCTAATATTCAGATTTTAAAAACCTACAAATGTCAGTAAAGCACTTTCAATATGTTTTCCAAAATATGTCAACAAAAAACACCATGGTATTAATAATGATCAGCTCATGACAGCTACAATCAGAGACCTAAATCTGGTACAACTGATAATAAATGTTTTTGAGGGGGCAGGGAAGATAATTATTTAGATTTGTAAATAATAAGATTGATATAACTATTGAAATTGAAAATCAAATTGATCTGGCTAACAGCTGCTATTATGTATTGCACAACAAATTTAAATCATAATACAGTCAAACCCCGCTATAGTGAACACGGCTTACAGTGAACTCTCGGATATAGTGAACGAAATGCTCGGTCCCGTGCCTTGCTATACACGTATGTTATTTTCAGTGGATATAGTGAACCAAAAAAGTGAGGAACTTTTTTCTGTCTTCGACTGATTTCCCCCCATTTTCTTCGTAATAATTTTGAAATTTCTACTTCAAAATACATATACCGATTTTTAAAACCATCTATAGAAACTACTTTTATGTGCTCGAATGGCAGGGTTAGACAGGCTTAAAAAGCGGAATAACAGAAATTCAGGAAAAATTATGTGAGAGTTGGGAAGTGTTTCCATATCTGATGTTGAGGATTGCTCATAAGCTAGAGATTACTAATTTTTATTTGTACGCAAGACGAAGAGTGATGAAAAATAACACATTTTTTGCTACTACATAATATTTTTCAGTCATTTATATGAATATAATGTAATAAAAGGGAGGAGTTTGGGAACCATTAGTGAAATTGCCTGCGTAACGGATATAGTGAACTCCCGGTTATAGTGAACCGAAATTTCGCTCCCTTGAAGGTTCACTATAGCGGGGTTTGACTGTACTTTATAACAGTGAAGCAAAGATACCTATAGCTGTTTAAGATATTAGCCGGACCAATAATTTTAAATGGCAATGAGTATTGGAAAATAAATTATCATGTAAGGATAAACTGATGACCTTTGAAGAAAAAGTTTGAGAAGGGCTTTTAGAACAGTAAAGGAAAATGCACTTCGACCCAAAAACATGGAAAGATGTTGATTACCACGGTTATCTACCTTTGACAACCATATGATGTAGTTTGGACCATTGGACGTGACTTTTTGGATAACACTCATTTTGAATTCTTTTGCTTTTAAATTTATTAGGAGATTATATATATTTATGCAACTTAAACTTAATTTTTGTGTAACCTGTCTCAGTTAAAATAAATCGTGTTAGTTATAAATATAATACCAAAGATAAACTTATTGAAATAATTCAAAAACTTTTATCTTTTATAATAGAATTTTTTTTTTACATATTGTAAGTGGCATTGTCTCCAGAGAAATATATTCTATGGAAAACCACTGCTACTAGGAGTAAACTTATGTCCCTTATCTTCAGGAATTTATCGATAAATACATGTGATTTCTCACAGTCTTAGCAACAAGAAGATAGAATGCAATCTGAGATATGCAGCATATATCTTAATGATTTCTACCTAACTAACTACTGATTAAATAAGATCACACAGCAAACATAAGGGTTTCTAAAAAAGTTAATAATTGAAACAAGTCATATTTTGCTACATACATAAAATACACAGTCTGATAAACGAAAAAATATATAGTATTACTTAAAAGCTAGCATAAATTACCTTTACTGATATCTTTAATTTTGTGGCAATAAGCATTGTGATGCAGAATCATATATTCTGTTAATATTTCGGCTAACACTTCATAAGATCGAATAATTCTCCCGCTATCTTCTTTTGATAAGAGATCCATATGATCCTATGAAAAGAATTTTTATTCAAATAATATTAACTGTAAATGCATTTTTCCTATATTGGGGATTTATAATGTTTATAAATGCTTAAATAATATCATTTTTAATGTAAGAGTTTGCATTCCATTAAACAACATTGAAAAACAAAACTAATATAATATTTAAAAAAATTTCTAGCACCTATCTAAGAATTTAGTTATCTGAATTTGACTATGCAAATAGATTGTTTTATACAAATACAGTTGTCTTGCTATTAAAATTGATTTTAAGTAAGATTGAAATAGCTGACTAAAGATCAAATTATTAATTGTAAAATTTAAAATCAAATGGACCATATCATACTTGCAACTTGAAAATCATATTTGGCCCAACATATCACCGATTTAAAAAAAAAAAAAAAAAAATTAAAAAATTCCTAAATAAAAAAAAAACTAAACCAGTTGGACTAAAATTAAACAATTACATATAATCAACTACTTATAAATGTGATAATAAGTCAACATAATTTTACAACTACCATTTATTTGCAGCCATGATTTACATCTCCTCCTTGTAATTGACTACATAACCTACTTCAAGTACATTCACTAACCATGACTTATTATTTGCCTAATTACAAAACACAAATATAAGAAACTCCTCTTATTTTCTTTAAAAAGAAATCAAGATTTTAAAAACATCCTTTTTATTATTTTTGGAAAATAATAGGTGATTTTAATCTATGACAAAAAAAAAATCATATAAAAATTAATGCATAAATATTAGTTACTTTTAACAAATCCATAGGTTTCTCTATTCTTATATAAAGAGATCTGGCCCATAGTATTTTTTCAGCAAAGGGAGGCTTCATTGATTCACCTTTTTTTAATTCCTTTTCCTTGTAAATCTAAAGAAATAAATGAATGCTCATATACTGAGTTTTAAAAAAAATTAAAAAAGGATGCTATTTAAAACTTTTTAGCAACGAAAAATAAACAAGCTAAATTTGATTGTCTTAGATTTAAAATAAAGTTTTATTTTAAGTAAAAGTACTATCTGGAGGAAAAGATTTGAATGTGTTTTAAAATGAAAAAAACCCAGTAATGTTTTTGTATTCGCCAATTGTTCAAACTATATTCTTAAAACTTTATTCTCAAGCTATCGTTTTTTTTACCGAGTGAGATATTTTGGTAGGCTACCAGAATATCAGCGAGTCATCTACTTTAGAGTGTCTAGGGTAAAGAACTGGTGATTCACATCAAAAAATAGGTTGTCCTGGAGGAATCTTGAACAGAACCCTTTGCCCCTGTGTGACTTGTTATGACAAACATGATGAAATACTTCTCAATTTTTTCCCTTTCATAAGCCAAAACAAAGCAATATTGGAGTATTTTCTCTAACAATGCAAATGTATTTAATTTCAAAAAACTGTGGCTTTTCTTCATATTGACATTTTGTGATATTTCCATAATTTTATTTTTGGGATATTTTCTAAATCAGTATGTAGAGCAACAATCCAAATTATTTTAACAGTATTGTTCTTTCTTTGGCTTACTTTGCTTATAACGTCCATTTCAAATTCAAAAGCCTTAAACATGTTTAGATACTGACTAGTTGTGTCCAATGCAGAAATTTTAAGATCTTGAAACCTATAATTTGAAAAAGTCGGAAAATACAGCTAAAACAATCAAGCATAAAAAGGAATTTAATAATTTGAGATAAAATCTTACAATAATTTTTGTTTAAGATGGAAAACTTATCCATAAAATATATAATGCTTTAACTAAAAGATTTTTGTCCTTGTATTAAACGTTCAATAATATTTTTGTAAAGCTCGATCATCAGGGTCTGCTTGAAGATATCTGGCTTCAGATCAATGGGCACTAATTTACCTGGGCCATAGTATATGTATATTTCATCTGTCTTATATTCTATAGATAAAATATTAACAACCTCAATTTGGCACAAAATGGCACATTTTATTTAGCTAAGCTGTTAACTTAGCTAAATTGCTCAACAGTTGCTCAGTAAGTGAAAGCTCAATAATTACTATTATTTTTTTATTTTCTAAGGGTTTTTTTTTTTTGAAAATAAAGCCAGTGCAGAAGAAATAGTAACAAATAAATGTACATCTAAAACAAAATAAATATAACATTTTTAATTTCACTAAAACATAATTAGCCAGTGTTAGAACTCGTTACAAGTGTTTCCTTAAAAACAGTCAATTTTACACAAAATAGAAAACAATTTAAATTTTTAATAATTTTAAACTCTTATTTACAATAAAGATTTATAAAAGTTTGTCAGGTTTTTATTTATGGCAAACTACTCATTATTTCTTATATCATAAGCTAAATCAAAATGATCACCAAATCAATAATCTTATCAATCAATAATCACTGAATGATCAATAACACTCATTTGAATAATCTAGGTTTGACATTCCTATTATTGTCACTTAGTATGATGCCAAGCAAATGGTTTAACCTGGTTGTTCCTCTACTGTTTAGTCCAATTGCGAGTGGATCTTTCTCCCATTCGAAAAGACTTGTTAATGAATACCTTAATATGCTAAGATTTCCAAAATTAAAAGAAATGATTGTTGTACAGTTAAATAAGACTAAAATAAGAACTTTCCCTATATAAATCTCAATTTTTTTCTTCATAAATGCTACTTAGACATTTCTTTAGTGATCTCTCTAATTTTATGAATAATTTTTTTTTCATGGTTTCAGCTGAGCTGGTTCAAACCAAATATCTCAACTGGTTCAAACAATTCAAACTCTGAGTCAATTCAAAAAATTTTCAACTATTATTAAATAAAGTGATCAAAAATAATAAATATTTACTAAAAATTATTTTTTGCATGGTATTATCTTTGGATAAATACATTTTATCATTGTGTGCAAGATTTTGTCAATTTGGTTAAAAAGTTCTCAAGACAAAAAGTAAAATTAGCATTAGGAGATCCAAACTTTGGACCACTCTCCTGATCAAACTAACGGGACGATATTTCTCAGATTGCAGCTGTTCCTTATATTTTGAGAGTTAGAAATCCAAATTCATTGAAAGAAGGTATGTTCAGAGAAAGAATGCGTTTATGTCTGATTTCATAACTTAAAATATTGTTTGCACTTATTAACATATTTGAGGTCACCCTTTTAAACCAATAAGATTGAGTCGTAGAATGTGAAGATCCGAACATTAGATCAAAAGTTATTCAGGGTGGCCCATTTTTTTTTTCTTTGTGCACTGTTTATCAATCACATTTTTGTTAATAAGGCGTTTATTTTTAACTTCTCACTGCCTGTCTTACGTTCATACATTCTATGACTAATATCACTAATGTAAATTCATTCTATCATGTAAATTTTGCAGTCTTGGCCAGATTATGTGTTTGTGTACATATATACTCAACAATTTTTTACGTAAAAATCCAAAATCTAAGCTTTCTTTTAATTTAAAAATATTTTTTCAATTCTTTAAAGCAAGTATGATTTTAAAAAGAGTACATTTAACAATACATTAAATCTTATTTTAAGTCATGAACATGCTTTTTATGACTTATCAAGCATGCAAGTAATGGTGCCCTTTTTTTACTTCAAATTTTAATTCTAAAGCAAATAAAATTATTAAAAATTTTTCCATTATATCAAAAGAGTGTTTACATTGAATCAATGTCTGCTCTTATGATAAACACCTGTAAAATTTTAGAATCTTAATTAAATTTTAGAAAAGTTACAGAAAGGGGAAAAAATGCTGTACATTGATGCTATCGCAAAGAAATCAAACCCACTTAAATCTCTTAAAAAATTATATGATTATTACTCAAAATAAAATATTATTATAGCATATGACTAACCTCTTTAAATGCAAAATTGAACGATGAACAATTGGAATTGTTTCGAACTGCTTATTGATGAATTCTTGAAGGTTTTTCTGAAATGAATTTTTAAATGAATAAGTTTCAATATATAGATATATAGATAGATATATAGATAGATATATAGACAGAGAGACAGATAGACAGATAGATAGATAGATAGATAGATAGATTATTAATAATTAACAATACTGTCTTGAAAGATTAAAAATGATAAAATGGTTTTAGGAACTAAATATAAACATTTTGATCAAATTGTATGGATAAATGCAATGTTTAGTGGTACACAAGCTGTTATGTTGAATATGAAATATAAACAGCATTAAACACACTACTTAAACTAGTCCAAACAGTGCTAGAAATTATGTCTGGCACACAATCTTAGGAAAGAACACTTAATGCATCTATTTACTTCTGACCTCTATTTATCGAAAAGAATCATAGTCACTAGAAGGGGTACATGATGCAATTAGAACTAACTAAATTGCTATAGATGACTTAATTTCAAGCTGCTTATTCATGAAATCTTCAAGTTTCTCTTTAATGAAACTTTTTAAATCATTCATTTGAACTTTAGAAAAACTAATAATAATTTTCTTAACTTTAAGCTATAAAAAATTCAAAATAACTAACAAATAATAAAAATAAAATATATCAACTAGCTAACACGTAATTATTAGAGTCATAACAAGCCATTTTTATTGTAGAAAAGAGGTAACAATAGAGTTGGTGATATTAATTACAGATTTATGAACAGTTTATGAATCAAATATAGAATACTTAGAGGCACTTTGCATTCATACATTCAATTCCTGTATTTGCTTCTTAAATTCCAGGTAATCTGTATCAAATTCAGTCTTTCGGTGGTCTAACAAATCATGAGGTTTTCCTTTTAAAGCACCAACAAGTGAATTGAATTTTCCAGAATGTGCCTCAATACCCTCAATGCAACAGGTGTTCAGAACTGAATATTCCTCGATAATATCAAACAGCTCACAAATCTAAAAATATACACCATTTCAGTAAATGTATTAAAAAAGATATTCAATAATTCTAATTAAAAATGACATGAGAGTGAATTTTTATTTCTCACATTAATTATGAGTGCAGGATATGTCTAACCGTGTGAATAAGGTCTAATTTTAAAAAAAATTTGAAAATAAAATTATACCTACAGAAAAAAAGTCTTTAAAAAAAGAAAAATGAATACTGTCTTAACCCTAACAGGAATGATTTTTTCCTGAGAGAAAGATTGAAGTGATTGTCTGTTATGTTAAATATAACACAAATTAACTAAATGCGACAATTTATTTATTCATAAATTTGAATTCCTTGAGTTTATGTGTAGCATCTTAAATTTAGTTTTAAAAATTATTACTATTTCATTCACACGTATACACATTCTGCATTTACACATTTTGATATTATTATATTTAACATTTGTGCTGGTTTATTTGAGAATTGTGTAAAACAAAATAAACTTTTTTCTTTGTTAAAGGAAAAAAAATCATCAAAAGAATTTTAACAGTAAGCAAACTTTATTTTCTAAAATTAGTTTTAAAAGGTTACAATAACTAAAAGCGATATAATTTTAAGGAATATTTCAAACAAACAAAAAACTCTGCCATTAGCAAAGTGACAAGATAAAAAAGTGATTAGAAAACAACAAGCCATGAGTAAATATGAACTCAAGTGATTTAGTGGCAAGTAGGTGAGGGCGTCGCTAACACTACTGGAGGACATAATAAGGTTCAATCCTGGCGGCTGAATAAACCAGCATATCTATGCAGCAAGATGTATGTTAAATCTCTCTTAGCCGAAAGACTTCTTATTGGTGTAGAAGTTTGGATAGGTACAAGCTTAGGTGCTGTCCATGTCCCTTGATCAGGGTCAAAACTATTTGTCACTCATAACATCATTACTATAAGATTGAGCCCTAAAAAACTCGCCAAAAAATAAGTTGTCCTGGAGGTATCTTTAATGAAAGGATTTAAGCCCCCCCCCAGGCTAAAGGGGCAAATATA